AGCGTAAAAAGTTATGAATACTAAGCAAGTTTGGAATATGATGAGCTGTGTTGAATCGCATAATTTTTTTTAGTGACTACTGACGAATGATAAAAAGTAATAGTTAAAAAGTAATTAGAGGTGGGTCCAAATATAAAAAGACCACGTAACGCGCTTTTCATCACGTGATATGTCTACACTGTCTAGGGTCATTAGTACGTGTGTGTGTGTATTATCAACTATACGCTTTATTATCTCAATAATCGTATCAATTTTACGGCAATCCCTAAGCTAACGAACAAAATGTTACAAAAAAAAAAAAAGACATATATCCTTCATATTTGTCATTTTTTGTCTGTCAAAAACGATAAATTAAAGAGTACTATTTGATTTTGAATTTATGTGAAAACATACGACTCGAAAGAAATACAAGCACATGAACCGTCGATGGTCGGGTCATCACCACCGGACCATGACCCGCGTGGTTAAACGACGTCGGATGTGTGAATCAAGTGGGACCCATGGTGGGCCAGCTTCGTATTACCGTAATAAAATAACCATTTTAATTATTGTAGTGTTATTTGATTGAGGGAGACTGTGACTGGGTCCATTTAAATAAAGCCTTGATACGTGTAAACCTGAAAACGACATCGTATTCACAAAAAGAAAAACTCGTATTATTATTTACCTGCTCAGTTCTCACAATGCCTTAAGTGAATTGCCCTCTTCGACCAAACGACAAACTTTCACACAAAACAAATATACTTACCAAATGTCATACAGTATATACATAAAAAATAAATTTATAGGTTAAAACATGAAGACACACATTACATTAATACCATCTTGGATTTTCGATTTAGAAAATGCATTTATCTAAATTTGGGTTTCTTTTCCTTACTCTAATAGATAATAAAGTTTTAAAGTTTTTCTAGCTCAATCTTTTTTTTTTTTAAGTTTTCCTATTTCCATTGAACAGTTTGTGAGTAAATAAATAAATATACAAGACAAAGAGATTAGTAATTAGTACTGACTCATTCAAACTTCCAGATGTTGATTGTTAACCTAAACACACTTAACTTAAGATTTTAAATAATAATTACCGATGCATGGATCCAAATTATGTTTGGTACATGTTTATTATATAAAGATTCTATCATTTTTCGCATTCATTTATATCTACATAAGTAGAACAATGCCAATCAGTTCCGAAATTTGGCTACTAATCATACATTAGTCTCCTTATAATTCCCTCATAAATTCATAATCAAGGGTTCCACTTAATTTGGTACGGTGACGACCCATCAAACCGATCTTTATTGTAATAAATAATATGATCTACTACTAATCATCAATTTTTATTACAACTGCCACTAAAAGCCGGACTTTACTATTTAATCCAAAAAATTGGTACATGGGCTTATTTGTTTTTCTAGTTGTAGGTGGTTGTTTAATTTTATGTATTAATTTCACCGATTGAACGTAGATATTGACCTAATACTCTTAAATATTACCAACTACAATAAAATACAAATAAAGTTTCCTTTACCAGCTAAAACAATGACAGAGGTACATCAACTACTCACAAAATACATATTAATTATATAAAAATTAGACAAAAAAAATTCTATTTGATTTTGGAGATTTTTTCCTATAGC